CTTATCCTGGATGAGGTGTTTTTTTACAACCAAACATGTGGGAACACCCGAAACTGTCAGCTGTCAATATTGACATTTTTAACGTTAGTTTACTTAGTTTGAACAACTGAGGTGACTGTAACGGACACGAATTACTATATCAATCGGACGCGAATTACAATATCTATCTCCAGGGGTTAATATCCTGTAAGGACGTAAATCGACCCCGAGTGCTGAAGGAGATCCCAGAGAGACAGAAAATGTTTACTACACCGTTCCAATTGGTAATGAGAAGAAAGATGTATACCAAGAGGATCCGTGAATGCTATGTAAGATGACGAAATTACTGCAGTGATCTCTCATATATCCTGTTTTCTAGCAAAAGAGAGCCACTACTCTTCTGGCATAATAAAGTATCTTCCTGCTGGCTTATCACTAAAAAATGTTTCGACTTTTTAAGGAAAATATCCAGGAAATAGGATTAAGTACGAATATCATTATAAAATATTGAGGGAGAACTTCGCTCTTCGCTTTGGACGACCAGCAGTAGCTGCCTCTGCGAAAGTCCAGGCTTGAATATCAATTCGAAAACCCTGAATTATGTAGCTAAAAAAGGTAGCTTGGGCAGAAAAGCTAGTACACAGAAAGAGGGCAAAGAAGTTCTATAATTAACTTCAAGAAGCAAGACAAAGATCCCAAAAAGATGAAACGTTTTTAGAAATTTGCTACTTCCAATCAAATTGTCACAGCCAATAATTCCAATGCAAGAAATATTTTATTTGCGGCAACTGAGCGTTTCTATTTTCTGTATCCACAATTGAAAACAGGAAAAAATGTCCTGTTCGTATATCATGAAGGGCAAGCAAAGAAGGGACCAAACGAAGTATGCTCGTTTATTATGACATACATTAAAGAGTACGTCGAAAAAATAATAGTGGTAAAACTAATTCTCTTTTCTGATAACTGCGCAGGGCAGAGTAAAAACAAGACAACAGTACGAATGAATATGGCCCTAGTTGACAGTGGACGTTTCAAAAAATTCAACAGATTTTTCCGATGCGTGGCCATTCTTTTCTGGCGTGTGATAGAGCATTCGGGATTATAAAAAGAAGCCTTCGTCGTAAAGAGAGGCTGTACAGTGTACAGGAACTTATGGAATTAATCGTATCTTCGAGCAGGCAGAGTGATTCTTTTACAGTTCACTTGGTCAGCGGAGAGGATGTGACCGAGTTTAAAAAATGTTAGGTTCAACATTTCAAAAAGACTGCACTATCTCTTGAAACAAAGGATCGGCGACTTTAACGGAGAAAGTAAGCTTCAGTATCTCAAACCTCCATCACCTCACATACAAAAAAGATCGGCAGTGAAGTGCCGGTAAAAGCAGGAATTCATTGATGGACTGACAAAGCATACATTTTTGTTGAAGATAAGGTCACAGATTACCGTCTCCCTACCGAATAAACCTGCATATGAACCAAGGCAGCTCTGCATTAATGCAAAGAAGATGCAAGACCTGAAAAAATGTGTTCAGTTTGTGCCTGAAGATGAAAAAATTAAATTTTGGGACAACATATTGCGATGGCCAACAGCTGAAAATGTCGAAGATGAAAAATTAGATTAATTCTGTTTGTTTTTTTTTTTGAAAATAAATATTATTAAACATTCGTACAAATTGAACTTTGATTGCAAAAACACACCTTGTACATGATGACTCTAAAAATCCATCCATTCCCGGGAAGCAGCCCCATCTTTCAGAGCATAAGACTCATACTTTCTTTCTCCCAGAAAGAAACGACCTCGTGGTGCTTTTACGCCCAACGAAAAGACCGTAATTCTAAATAATTACAAATATAATATAGAAAATTGGCCGCAAACAACTGATTGGAGTGCAACGGAATGTGCTAAAAAGACTTCTGAGATATCTAGCGTAGGTCTGTCAAGTGTCTATAAAATTACCAAAGAATATAAAGACCCAAAAGAGTTTCAAAAGCCGAAAAAGAGTGGACCTCAACTATCCTTCATACATAAATTTGACGAATTTACTTTCGCCGCAATCCGACGAAAGGTTCACGCGTTTTTTCGCAGGAACGAGATTCCAACTATTGAAAAGGTTAAGTTATCGCTAATGCTTTAACCCGTCGTTGCTGACATCCCCCATTGTTTTAAAACTATACTTTAACATGTGTTGCCTGTCTACATTTTAACTGTAATGTTTATGTTAATGTTTATGCTTATTTCACATTCACCAAGAGATAGCTGGTAATCCAGACATGCCTGTTATGTCGAAATCAACATTTAGAAAAGTATTGTTGAAGCATTTAAATTTTAAATACGCAAGTCGCAAATGTCGAAGTGCGATAACAGATCGCAAGGAGATTAAACAACCAAATTATACAATATAGAAGAGAAGGCAGGGTTATATATTACCAGTATGAAACGTGGGTAAACGAAGACAAGTATTGAATAATGTGGTAATTAGTTGGCAATCAAATTCTCTACTTATGTAACACTTAAATTAACTTTGTTAATAAATTTCTGTTGCCAAAATGAATAAATAAACAAAGAAATCCATATTTAAAGGTAATATTTTTCAATTTATATGCATATATAACTGTACTCGTGTATAAATGAAATATTAAATATATTTTTATTTTCAGGATATACCGTCAATAAAGTGTGGTGTGATACGAACATTCAATCTTCACGACAAACTTTCCTCGATGGCTTGACAACAGGACTTAAGGCACCTACAGACAAAGGGAGGCGACTTATAGTTAGCCATATAGGAAGCGGAGAAGGATTTTTGGAAGATGGCTTATTGGTTTTTTAAGGCAAAAAAGGCTTGTCAGATTACCACAAGGAGATGACTGGGGAAGTATTTGAGGAGTGGTTCACAAAAACACTTCCAAAATTAAAACGAAACTGGGTAGTAGTGTTAGATAATGCAATCATTCGAGGAAGGTCGAAAAAGTACCAACAAGTGCACGGAGAAAAGGCGATATCCAAGCGTGGTTGACTTCAAAAAATTTGAATTTTGAAGAAAAAATTTTAAAAGTTAATTTATAGGAAATTGTGGGTCAGGAGAAATACAAATACGAACAGTGTATTGTAGACGAGATGGCCGCAGCACAAGGCATTACTATCATTGTGAGCTCAACCCTATTGAATTGGTGTGGGATCAAGCGAAGGAGCATGTCGCAAGACATAACACAAGATTTAAAATGGTAGAAGTTAAAAAACTATTGCTGGAAAGTAAAAATACAATCAAAGAAGAAGATAAGATGTTTACTCTCGACAATTTCATTGACACAGTCGCAGACTTTTTAATAATTTATGTCAGCGATGATGGTGATGATGAAGTCAGTGATATAAGTATTAATGATGATTAAAGATTTTAATAAAAATACGTTATCTTTACCTGTGCGTTTTTTTACTGTTTGTGATGAAAAGGTACGTAATTATCACTCACCGTAAAATCACTTTTAATATGAAGCATAAAATGGATACATTCACTAACAAATTAAATGTATAGACTCAGGTGTTCAGACTCGTATTGAAATTGAAAAATGTGCTCGGCCAAAAAGGTTTGTAATCTCTGATATGTCAAAAAATGATAGCTGTCAGAATTCTACGGAATAAAAAATCAGACTATAGTTGCGATTTCAGAGCACCTACCTAATGATAATAATTATTATAAATTATCTCTAAATTTATGTTGCTCAGGGATAATGTAGCCTCTTTTCTTTAGGCTATCTTTTATTTTCAAAAAACGCCCAGCGGAGCGGGCATGGGTCAGCGAGACCTATAAGGGTTTCTTTTTTCCTCTTGAGGTCGGAACACTAAAAAAGGACAAACTGGTATTATTGTTGTATGTGAAGTTTTTTTCTTGATCGCTTTAACGTCCGTCTTCATCTAGCTACCAACGCAGAATGAAACACGTCAACGTGTGAACTAAAGTTGTTCAACACGACTATAAATCAATAGCACGCTACAGACTATAAACTATAAATTTATGTTATAGCGCGCTATTTATAAGAAAGAGTGTAGGAGATCGGCAAGCACGTTAAGTTTTGCTGCACGCTAAATCTCGTAGCATGTTCGACATTACATGTCGGTCATTTTCTTTGGATAGACCGCGTGCTATATAAGAACATTATTTCGTAATAAGTCGCATTTTAGACTAAAATAAAATAAAGCCGTAAAGAAAAGCCAATGAACGCTTTTTCATACTTTTCAGGCTTACGATTTTCTATAATCCTAAAATATTTTTAAAGTATGTACTTTTTAAAACGAAATAAAAATTATTATTTTTATTATAATTAATGTAAACATTATTTTAACCTTAATATAAAATTATAAATCAAATAAAGGTGTATTTATTAATTGTATTTATAGAAATCAACTATTTATATACACTATTATAAACACCTTTTGTATCTATATTTTAATAACAATAACAATAATAATAATAATATATTATAATAAATAAAAAGGTGTAGGGAATTGACGACCACATCGCCCGCTGACCTAACAGTTAAGTGACAAAACTGTTACGTCAACGCAGTCAGTCAGCGCCTTGTGAGAGGTGTGAGCGCCGTCCCTCGGCAGAATTTAGGGTGCAAAGGCCCGTTTGTGCTTATGGCCGCACACGATACGGTGCCGGGCCTGGGCGTCTCCCATTAATGGACGCCCAAATCATGGATGATGGATAGAAAGATAGTGCGCAAAGGGCCGCTGCCTGGATGTCGTCAGGGTGCGTCTGGAGCTGGCGCTGGACTGGTGACAGCATGCGGGCCACCAGCCGAGCGCGGGGTGCTGCAAGACCACCTAGCAGCCCCCCGCATCCATCATCCCCACCACAAGGCTTGGTGTCTGCTGGGTCTACGCGGACTCAGCAAGCGGCACCCGCCGCTGGTGGAGCACGTTGCATGCGTTGGTCACAAACAATGAACGCAAACCCACTGCGGGCGTACTTTAGGGCAAAAGGGGAAGAAACTGGATGTTTGGCGTATCGTGCTCGGATGCATCGCTTTTTTGCATTGCTGGAGCCATCTCTATCTGTCACTGAGCAAAACCTGGCAGACCGAGTTCGGTACATCCTGCGCTCCAACATATTTGGTGACGCCGAACTCGAACGACTACGACGTGAGGCTGTTCCCTCATCGGATGAAAATGCTACGGCTGGGAATGCGGGGCCACTAATTGTGCATCAAATTGCATATGTGGATGCTGTCGTCAATATTCAATCTGTGGTTGATTCAGACGATGATGGAATACTCCCCCACGAACTGGAGAAAATGAGGAGCATATTGGAAGAGTCGATGCTGGAAACGCGCAGCATGCCTCTCGAAAATCGACCGCAATTTCCACGCATACCCCCCTAGCACCCAATGCTGTGTACCTGTTTGGAAGCCAGCCGGGACCTTTGCGAGACGGACTCAATTATTTTTGGCACCGCACTGACAGTATGCCGTATTATTGGCGCCAAACTTCCCATGGCTGGACGTGCTACTCGACAAAATAGCGCCATTCCAGCCTGGAAAAAGAGAATTGAGGACCGTATCGCAAAGGCAAGGGCCCTTGTCGACAGACTGACAAGCTTCAGGTCGGGTAATAATAGACCGAGAGTTGTGCGCACCGTTAGAATGGCGTTTGCTGGGACAAATATTAGTTTGTCCCAGCCGGATATCACGCAGAAACTAACGGAGCGCATAGATGACCTGAAGCAAAAAATCGCTGCTTGGGGGTAGCGGATTCGAAAATTTAGTGAGAGGTCAAGGCGATTCAACCGGAATCGTCTCTTCCAAAGTGATCAGAAGAGGCTCTATAAATCATTGGAGCGACTAGAGGTATGTGGAGCGGGCCCAGGACCAGATCAGGCTAACACTGTCGCATTTTGGCATGGCCTGTGGTTAGAGCCCGTAAGCCACAACGAGGGCCCTTGGATGGAAGTTGTAGCGAGCCAGAGTGCGAGTGTTACACCTATGGACCCCATCACCATAACGCCGGAAGACGTGGCTAAGGCGGTCCGTAGGGCCCCGAACTGGAAAAGTCCGGGGCTCGACGGGCTGCATCATTACTGGCTGAAGGGGTTCATAGTGTGTCACGCTGTGCTCGCCCGACAGTTACAAGAGGCTCTCAACCAGAAGTCGCTCCCGAGCCTCTTCACTACTGGGATCACTCATTTGGTCCCTAAAGATCAGGATACCACAGATCCGAGCAAATACCGTCCCATCACGTGTCTACCCACCATATATATGACACTGACATCCATTTTGAGCGCGAGAATCACTCGTTACCTGGAGCTAAATCAGGTGATGTCACGCGCTCAAAATGGATGTCGGGGGCGGTGGTCGTGGAACCAAGGAACCACTCCTCATTGACGCGGTCATTGGCAATGTGGTGAAACGCAACCGTCGGAACTTCTCCGCCGCCTGGATAGACTACAGAAAAGCATTGGACTCGGTGCCCCATACATGGCTAAAAAGAGTCCTCGAGCTGTACAAGATTGACTGTACAGTTAGAGACTTCCTCGAGCAGTGTATGGGGCAGTGGAGTACGATCCTTTGTTATCTGGGCGAGCGGATAATGGCTGCGGAGAACCACATAAGGATAAGAAGGGGTATCTTCCAGGGCGATTGTCTGAGTCCAATCTGGTTCTGCCTCTCTCTGAACCCTCTCAGTACCTTACTAGAGGCCTCCGGGAGAGGATTTCAGCTATGGAAGGCAGGCACAAAAGTGACCCACCTTTTTATATGGATGACCTCAAGTTATTCGACTCCAGTCGCTCCCATCTTATGGAATTGCTAAATATCACTCGTGAATTTAGCAATTCTATTGGAATGGAGCTGGGGACGGATAAGTGTGCGGTCCTCCATGTTGAAAGGGGAAGGTTTGCCAACTCTGAGGGCATAGACTTATCTATGCCCGTCAACTTAAGGATCCTTTCCGAGGCTGAAACATACCGATACCTGGGTGTGTCATAGAACATCGGTATCGATGAGGCTGGCATGAAACAATCAGTTTGCGATGTGTTTTATGCACGCTTGACCAAAGTGCTTAACAGCCTTTTGTCCGGTATGAATAAGACACACGCATATAACGGTTGGGTCATGCCTGTCCTCATGTATACCTTTGGAATACTCAGCTGGACTCAGACCGAACTTAAGGCCCTGGATAGAAAAGTCCGCACTACCATGACGTCCCATAGGATGCATCATCCGAGATCGTCGGTAAAGAGGCTGTACTTACCGCGAAAGCATGGTGGGCGTGGTTTTCTGAGCGCGCTCACCATGCATAATCGCGAAGTGTGCAGGCTCTGTCATTACTTTCTGGCGAGATCGGATGATTCATTCTATAATGACGTCATTTCTAGTGATAAAGGGCTTACCCCTCTATCCTTAGCCTACGAGCAATGGCAGGACCCAGCAGTGCTTAGCATTTCCGACCGGGAGACCGTATGGAAGGAGAAGGAGCCCCACGGGAGGTACTACAGGGCTCTACATGAGCCCTTCGTAGGTACAGTTTCCTCCCTCAACTGGCTACATTTCGGTGACCTCTTCGGGGAAACCGAGGGTTTTGTCTGTGCAATACAGGATCAGGTTATTAATACCAACAACTATCGGAGATACATCCTAAAAGATGGCACCGCCGACTTCTATCAAGCTTGTCGCCATTCCGGTGAGTCGCTTGGGCATGTCATCTTCGGTTGTTCGGCGCTTTCTAACTCTGAGTACTTGCACAGGCACAACCTAGTAGCCAGTATTCTACACCAGGAGCTCTGAAATACGATCTCGTGGACTGGAAATTGCCGTATTACAAGTACTTGCCGGAAGCCGTGCTCGAAAATGACCGCGCCAGGCTCTACTGGGACCGGGCCATCATCACAGACAGGACTATTCTTGCGAATAAGCCTGATATTGTGCTGATGGATCGGGCACAGTCAAGGATATTTTGGTCGATATTACCATTCTGTATGACGAGAACCTCGTGAAAGCCGAAACAGATGAGCTATCAAAATATCTGGACCTGGCTCACGAGGTGACCGACGTGTGGGGTGGTCTGCCGACCGAAATTATTCCTGTAGTCGTCTCTGCGAATAGGCTAATCCCAGTTAGCTTCTCTGGTCATCTGAGGCGACTGGGACTCCGTGACGGACCGCTCCGGGCTCAAGGCGGTGCTCTTCGATACTGCCCGCATCGTCCGCCGGTTTCTTTCCCTTTCCCCCAACCCTCAGCCGTTTGGTCTCCCCGAGGGCTTCCATCTGGTTGGGCTTTTATTTATTTATGTATTTTCGTATTTATATTATTTTATTGACATTTATGTATATTTATCTTTTCATTCTATGTATATTTTTTTCATATTTATAGAACCCAACCAGATGAGAAAACGATATAAATACCCCCCCAATAATAATAATAAATATTTATTTGCATAAAACATGGTACATTTTTAGGTCTTATAACATAGTGTGTACATGCATGTTTTACCGCTTTATCGGTATGCAAATATTACGTCAACGTGCAATTTAATAATTAAAATCAGAAAAATACAAAATTACAATATTATTTCATCTTAATTTGAATAAAACAGTAAAAGAAAGAAAAAATATACAGGCATGGTCATAATTAAAATGTCAAACTAGTATAATGTCAATCTTACAAACTCTAAATCATTTGTCAATTTAAAATTTTATACATCAACAACAATTCGCTTGAGGTGACCGTCAAGGCAGAATTTGATAAATTCATTTATCTCATAAAAACAATTTTCAATCAGAATCCCGAAAATATTTTTTAAAAAAAGTTTAAATGTCAAGTTTTGAATATGGCTCGGAAGTAAATTAAATAGTCGAACGCACGTGCTATAACTATTTCTAGCAAAAGAAGATGTGGCTGTCTGGGGCACAGATAACTTCCACGGGTACCTTCTTGTACCACATGTTGTTTAGTGAAGAGGCTAGCATTTTTTTTGGTGAATGTTAAAATTTCATATATATATATATATAGGGAAGGTAATGTAAGAATATTTAGCTTTTTAAAGAGTGATCTACATGATTCCGTTTGACCAACACCGCATATAGATCTTATACATCTCTTCTGTAGTATAAAAACACGATAAACGTGTGTCGAATTTCCCCACAGAATCAGTCCACACCACAGTATAGAAATAACGTATCCATGGTAAGCCATCAGAGCTGTCTTAAGGTTGGCTAACTTTGACAGACGATACAGAGCGAACACAAACCTGTTAATCCTCTGGCATACAGTTTCTACGTGATTCTGCCGTGTGAGTTCGGAATCAATCACAACACATGGCAATGGGATCGTTACCATGGTGTATTGATAGTTGCTGAGGTTTACCATTTTTACTGTAAAATTGTATATATTTTGTTTTACTAATATTAATTTTCAAATCATTATATTTTAGCCAATTCGTCATATTTCTTATTTAATTAATTATTTCATCATTATAGTCAGTTTTAGGTTTCTTATGTATAGTTATAGAAATATCGTCATTGATATAAATGATGAAGAGTAATGGTCCCAGTATACTGCCCTATGGTCCCTAGGGTAGGTGTCCCACCTGAGTTATTCGCCCTAATCTCCGATTTGTACGTCACACTCAGACACCCATCACCCAGCCTCGATACTTCCACAAACTGAGCCCTTTCATTGAGATAGCTCCTTATCCAATCATAGGCTGGTCCTCGTACACCATAACGCTCAAGCTTATTCAGAAGTTTCTTATGATAGACGAAGTCAAAGGCCTTACTCATATCGAAAAGAATAGTGGATACGGGAATCCTGTTGCCCATATGGATCGATATATTCTTAATAAGGGAGTAACAGGCTAGTGCTGTTGACCTTTTCTTTCGAAACCCAAATTGTTCCTCCCAATTATGCTGTGTTTTGTAAAAAAAAGAAATTAATCTTACCAGCATGATCTTTTCAAATATCTTTAACAAAACTGGGATAAGTGCAATGGGTCTGTAGTTGTTTAAATTATGCCTCTCTCCGCATTTAAAAAGTGGCTTGACAATAAACATTTTAAGAGTGCTCGGAAATTTACCCTCTTCAAAGCAACGATTCACAAAGTGTGCCATCAAAGGTGCCAACTCACTTGTACAAGCCTTAACTACCTTCGTACATATCGCATCATGACCTGTGGAATTTGTGTTGTTCAGAGTGTTTATAATTTTGATTATTTCATTTTGGTCGGTGGGGTTTAAAAATATAGATGCACTAGTAATTTTGATGAATTTCTTATATTTACGCGAACACTACACATTGAAAATAATACTAGTTTTTACGGAATTTATCGCGTATATTTTACTTTTTAAATAACCGACGTTTCGAGTGCTGTAAAGCGTTCGAAACGTCGG